GGGATTAAAGCTTTTACCCTAAACCCTGAGCCCTTTATACGGGTTATAGGGTTTAGAATTCGACGTCGGGGGTTCAGGGTTTAGGTTTTTAGGGTTTGGGTTCCTAGGACCTAGATAAGCCCCTTTAAACCAAACAGGGCACCCTTTTTGTTCCTCCTAGAGACTCCAATATCCCTTAATTAAGGAATATACCTTAAATCATATGAGGTATCCTACCATAATTTAAGGATATTCCTTCATGAAGGGATATTGGAGTCTCTGGGCTAGGATACTCTTGGGTCTAGGTTCTGAGGTCAGAAGGTTTTGGGTTGGTCTGGGGTTAGCTTTTCAGGGTTTAGGGTTTTAGGGGTTGAGGGTTTAGGATTTCAGGGTTTAGGGTTTAGGGGTTGAGGGTTCAGGGTTTAGGGCTTTGGGGGTTGAGGAGTTGAGGGTTTAGGGTTTAGGATTTTAGGGTTTTAGGGGTTGAGGGTTTAGGGTTTTAGGGTTTAGGGGTTTGGGGTTCAGTCAGCGTTTCTTTTCAGGGGTTTTCACGGTTCAGCTTTCCCTTTCATTCACTCGGCGATCATCATTTAGGCTTCCATACTGAATGCTACTTTGGCCTTGGTGGCTTCACGGGTAAATGGCTCAGGCATTAGAGGTTCAGGTTTGGTGGCCTATGCTTACGATGTAGCTGTTCAGGGCTTCGTGGCTTCAGCGAAGGGTTTCAGGTGTGAATTGGGAACCCTAAACCCTCCTTCCGGAGGATTGCTGACGGAAAAAGGTGCTTTAAAAAAAAAAGAACCTAATATTCGACCGGTTTAGGGGTTTAGGGGTTTTGGGGGGTTCAGGCTTTAGATAGCCCTGAACAGAAGACCCGAGGTTAAGGTCGTCTAAGCGGAGTAAATTTGACTCGCGAGGTGGAGGCCTGGGAATTGGATGCCGGTCGTTCTTGTGACTGATGCGGCTTGCCTGCATCCCTAGAGAGTCCAATATCCCTGAATTAAGGAATAGACCTTAAATTATAGTAGGATCCCTAATAGGATTTAAGGAATATTCCTTAACTAAGGGATATTGGAGTCTCTGGGTCAGGCTTGGCGGTTGTGAGGCGTTCGGACATTGGGGGTTTGGGCTGTAGTGCGCTTGCAATGCAAGCACGTCTTCTGGTTTGGGGTGAGTTTGGGGTGAGAAGACAGAAGACAAAAGAGATCTTGCTACATCTTGCGACGGGAAAGTGGAGTAGCTGTGCTAACTAGCTGCGCATCATTTGAATCCTGGAAACCTATCGTAAAAATCGAAGTGCAGCCTAAACCCTACACTTAGCCCTAATTGAATGCCAAAACCTCCGAACCCCAAAAGCCCCTGAACCCCTCAACCGATAACGCCCCAGTAACCAGTTTCAAGAAACCGAGGTCCGTTCGGATGGCTCTGCGGAGGGTGTCGCGTTAACCGCGAGAACAGGCCTTTGAAGAAAGCACTAATCATGATCCAAACAGTGGCCATTAAATAAAGGGTCCAAAATTTAAGGCATTCATGATCCAAACAGTAGCCATTATAAAGGGTCCAAGATTTGGGGGGATTTACTTTTGGATGCTCCCGGGAATCTGGGTTGAAGAGCACGTGGTGAAGAGATTGATGGTCATGGGGCTGCCGAAGACGATGCTGTTCTTCATTCATCACCACTATCTTCAACAGCATCAAGGTGACCGTGATGGTTACGACATGCTGCACCCTGATGATCATGATGGTGGTTATTTGGGGGTTTCCGAAATAGGGGACCCAAATATAGTACCCTAAATAATGGGATCCTTATTATAAGGACGCCAAACTAAGGTACCCCTATTTTCGGAAACTCCCATTTGGAGCATCGATCCCCTGAGCCCTAAACCCTAAACCCTAACTACTTAAAGGCTCATGGGACTTAGTAAGAAACCCTAGGGTTCCTTTGAAGGGCTGCTTTAAGGGATCCTTTAGGGTTTAGGGAACTATAAGACTATAAGGGCTCTATAAGGGGGAGTTTAGGTTACTTAGAGGATCATGAGACTTAGTAAGTAGGTCATAACTGGGGTTATAAGTCCCCTAAGTGGAGTTATCCTAGATATAACCTACTTATAACCTTACTTACTAAGTCCCATGAGCCTTTAAGTAGGTTGGATTTGGGGACAGTGTTATTTTCCTTATTTGGGTTTATAAGGGACCCTATATATAAATATTTTTCAGGGTGTTTACAGGCCAATCCAGCTAAACCCTTTTCATAGAGCCTAGAAGCAGACAGTCGGACTCCGGACAACTGCACTGCCAGCAATGGTACAGTTAGCATGATCAGCCTTACTTAGGGTTCAGGGTTTAGGGTTGTGTATCTCCTAGATGATGTTCTTGTCCGTTTTCACTGGGAAGAAGTAATTAGTCGCATCCGCACGACTTTTCTCCGGAGTGGGTCGTTTCCTGATTCAAGCTAGGTCATGACAGATGTATGCAAACGTCGTTCGTACTAAGTAAGGAGTTGCGTCCCTTGGCTACTCCAGCGACGTTCATATCATTCATCATCACTGCCCCAGTATCATTTCTACCAGCGCTGCGGGGTGTAGGGTTTGTCGGCAGGAATTTTGGGCAGGATTCAGTGTGTAGGGAACCAGCACCTGTGCGTGGGGAGAACACGTTATCATGCAGTGCCGAAGTTGGTGCCAGAGGGTCAGGGTGTACTTAAAGGCTCATGGGACTTAGTAAGTAAGGTTATAAGTAGGTTATAATTAATTAGGATAACCCCACTTAGGGGACTTATAACCCCAGTTATGACCTACTTACTAAGTCCCATGATCCTCTAAGTAGGGGTTTGGGGTTTGGGGCCCACAGCATGGACCTGGGGTTCCGAGTTCTCGTGGCTCTTGAAGGCAGCCCTTACCACCACCCGCCAATGACCGATGCACCTTAATGCCTCTAAAGGGAACTCCAGAAAGTTGGAATATGCTTTCAGGGTAGGATACCCTATAATTTACCATAAAGGGTTTAGGATAATCATATTCCAACTTTCTGGCTTTTACTTTACTGCTCTACCGCATCCGAAAACAGGATCATTCCCCAAACACTGAACCCCACTGCCGCCCGGACGCCTTGCCGCACATTGTGAGATTTAGATACTGTTGTGCGAGAAGCTGACACTAGTGTAAAAGACAGGACGAAAGGGTGTTGGCCAAGAGTGAAAATCCTTTCGTGTTAGGACGGCTTTTTGATAGAAAGATCCATCCCAACATAAACCCTTCCGAAGCCAGACGAAAGACCTACAACGAAGGCTTCTGGACAGACCTAAGCGGTTCCTCTGCGAGAACGGACGGGGTCTGGGGGGGAGTTATGGATGCTCTGTGACAGCGGATTGGGTGGACGTTATCATGGTTGGCCTATGCATGGATGCTCTGCAAGAACGGATGGAGTCCGGGCGGACGTTGTCATGGATGACGAGGGCGCATGGGATTTCAAAGCTGCAGGAGACGTGTGAAACGCAGAGCTGGAGGAACCTGTCTAAGTGCGTCGTAAAGCTTGGTCGGGAGGCTGAACCCCAAAGCTCGAACAGACGACCCGGAAGCCAGAAGCGTAGAGGTTGGCCTCCCAGCAGAGTCCAGCCCGTCTCGAAGGCGAGTGTAATATATGAGCCTGAAGGTTCCGAAGCCCTACCAAGAACGGTTTAGGGTTTAGGGTTTGTTGGGTTAGGAAGTTTGGGGTTTTGAAAACCCTAAACCCTAAAACTTGTCAAAGCAAGGGTCCTTAAACAAAAAAAAGAAACCTTTCAAAGAACCTTGCAGACCCGGAGAGCCCAATACCGCTTAAATTATGTCGGGCTTCGGATCATATTATGATTTAAGCTACATTCCTTAATTAAGAGGTGTTGGGCTCTCCCTAAACCCTAAACCCTAAACCGTGGGCAGGCATCCTCCTGGGCGACGTCCAGTCCGATGGCGCCGCGGCCTTCGCCACGCGACCGCTGCACTGGGGCGGCCCAGAGGACTTTAAACCCAGGGTTTATTAGGGACCCAGAAAGCACATAAGCCTAAGCATGTCATGGCGATGTATCTACCTTATTGGGCTTCATTATAAGGCGGCTTATATGGGATATCTGTGCTTTTTTGGGGCCCTAGTTTAGGTTTTGAGGTTTAGAGGGCCCTATAGAATAATCATCATACTTTTAACATTAATAATAGGAACAGTAAGAATAATACTACTACAGATAAGACTAATAGTAAAACCTAATCCTGAAGCCCTCAACTCTAAGCCCTAGACCATGGATTAGACCCTAAGCATTGAACCTCAACGCCATAAAAAAGAAAAGAACCTCAACGTCTGTGCCTTTATCAAACCTGAACTCCAAGCCCTGCACCCTAAACCCAGGGCCTGCGGGTTTCGACACGAACCTTCCAAATCCTTGAATTCGAACTTCGATTCGCCTCTACACGGTGCAGGGTTGAATACCGAGCTCCCAAACCCCCGCACCGTAGACCGGGATTGGGATGTAGGTCTTAGGCTTTGAAAGGAGTTTCTGTTGGAGGTTGGCTACGACATGCCAGCCTTTGAATCGAATTACAGATGTGTGCAGCTACAAAGCGTTTGCAAAGAGTCTATTACTATGAAATCTACTTAAAGCGAGTTCATGTACTCCAGCCCTAACTCCAGCAATGCCTGCCCTTGCCACTGCTAGTGCAATATTTACTGGTTCGGTTGCTACTGTTGTTATTGCTGTTACACCTTAGAACTAAGATTCGTGTCATGCCGCATTGTGATGTGACCGCTGCTGTTTCAGCTAGAATCTCGCATGATTGTCCTGCCATGTCTGCCAGCACAGATCCATGATCATAGCATCACAGCATAAATGGATCAAGAGTGGTCGTACGATGCAGTGTAGACCTGGACAATGCCCAATCCTGAACCTTAAACAATGAACCCGACACCCTAAACTTCAAAACCCTAGACCTGTAAAGTTGAATCTATATCCACAAGCCTACACCCAAAATCCTACCATCAGAAAGAACGACCAGATGGCTCACTGCGTTTCTTCCATTCAGGGAGTCACCGGTGAGTTGCGGCCTACAAGTCCCTTCACCTTCGTGGTCAAGTCGTCCCTGACTGGCGAGCAGCTGGCGCAAGTTTCGGCGCGACCTGGCATGTCGCTTGCTGAGTCGAGAAAATTCTGAAAGATTTGGGTTTTAGGGTTTCGGAACGAAGTCCTAGACCGTAAGCCCCAGGCCACTGGACTTAATAAACTACACCCTAAACCCAGGGTTTGTTTGTTGCTTCGCAAACCGCTATAGGAAGGCGGCTCCTGACGCAGGAGCTCGAGAGTAGGCTTCCCGGGCGTTGGGTTTACAATAGAAGCCCAAAAGTTGGAAACCCAATGGCCCTAATCCTTAAGATCAATTAATCTATAGGGAATCCCAGCACTATTTGGCCTTAATCCGGTTTCCAACTTTATGGGGTTTACTGTAGGGTTGAGGGTGCCTGAATATTCCACGCAGTAGTATTTCGTACTCAATTCAATCACAGGGTGTTCATTCCGCAACTGTAGGACACCCAGAAAATCCACCCCACCCCCCCCCCGAATCTAAATCATATTCAGGATGCCACCTGTAGCTCAAGGGATTCTCCTTGCTTTCCTCATGCTAAACCCTACAAAACTTGTTCAGACCCTTACCCAGAGAGCCCATTAATGCTTTAATAACGCACTTTGCTTAACTCATAGTATTATGAGGGTCCTTCTTGGCTGAAGGTACGTAAATATGGATTATACCCGCCCTCCTAAAAGCCACTAGAACAACCTTCAAAGGGGCCCTGAAAGGAACCCTGACTTACGGCTGTATTCCCCAAGTTAAGGTATACTCTTTTGAACTGGGATAGGACCAGGCCCATAAGCACTAAAATCTGAACCTTGGGTGCAAGTGGCGTTACAACCTTAAAGACGAAATGAACCCTAAAAGGGTTTAAGGTTCATATACCATATAGGGATTCATAGTATATGGGAAAAGGGTCCCCCCACTTTTAAGGGTCATTTGGTCCTTCAGGAATAGGGGTTGCTAGGAAGGTCAAGCGTTACAGTTTACGATAGAAGCCGGAACAGTCACCAGCGCTATTCCACAGAGTTCCTCTTTGTAAGTATATACATATATACATACAAACTCTAGCATAATTACCCTGAAACACTCATTTTCTTGTTCAGGACCTTATAGTAGCTGTGTTCAGTGTCATGGTGAGGTCTCTGGCGATGCTACAGGAAGCCGTTGCGCAGAAATCGTGCGTGCCGGCGTCCGAGCAACGCCTGATCTTTGAAGGGGAGACTTAGCAGCTGAGTATATAACCTTTAACCTTTTGAGGTTCATATAACCATACCATAATTGAAACGGTTAACTAACGTTGTTTTTGGCTAGGGTAGTCCCTAAAGCCTAAATCCTATACCCTAAACCCTCAACCCCTAAGCCCTAAACCCTACCCTTTTCGGGCTAGGATATTCATCCCGTAAGGAGATGCTTCAGGAGGATTTGCTGTCCCAACTCCTGCGGCTGGGCGGTCCTTGCGATCTTTGTCATGTCTCGTTTTTCTTAGATCCCCAATACCTAACCTTCAAACTTTTTGGGTGCTTATAGTTTAGTAGGAATGGGAAAGTTTGACCATTCATTTCTGTGGCTTACCGGGGTAGTAAGTTTCGGTTTTACAGTGACATGATAAACCCAAGCAGCTATACAAGACCGTGCTTCTAGCTCAGGGGGACATGGCCAGATGGTACGACGAAAGAAATTCAGGTCGTCAAGGTGATGAAGGAAATAGCGGGCACCCACATGGGCACCTATGCGAGTTGCACTTGCACTCCGGCCGCTGACGAAGTTTGCTGGGGCTACAGCGCGATGGTCAAGAACATCTGCCCACGATGTGGCGAGCAGATCGCATCTGCGAAAAAGTCATGGACGGATGGCTGCCGCAGGAATGGCGATGCTTACGGCTGGGTGATGCTGGTCTGCGAACATTGTGGCCTGAAGCAAAAACACGGCTGGGACGATGCATAGCTAAGAATGTCCTAGGAACTCATCTACAGTATCTTCGGGCAGAAAATCACATCTACAATGACATCCTCTACGGACGGCTGCCGCTGAATATGCGATGCGTATGGCTGGGTGAGGTTTGAAAGCGAGCACTGTGGTCATGGTCTGAAGCAGAACGACGGCTTGGAACGATGCACGACTGCAATTTCCTATGACATGCTGTGCAGTATTTATCCCAGGTGAGCTGCGAAGCTTACGGTTGGGTATTCTCACAGGAGAAATCTTGGCCCCGCCAGGCAAATCCGTAGGCTCAGACCTAAGCAGCTCGAAAGTGCCGCTGTGTAAAATCTTGCACGACCTTTACTTTGGTTCTCAAGATGGGTAGTTGTCAAAATTATGGTCCCGAATCGGGTACCCTAAATATTAGGTGCCGTATTATAATAGGGACCCAAACAGGGACCATAATTTTGACAACCACCCAGATGTTCAACCAGGGTTTGAAAGGCTTCTGCAGTCAGGCCTTATAGGCGTTCCTTCAAAGTTCCGGAACGGCTCTCGAAAAGGGTTCCATAAGGGTGGAGCAACCCAAACTTTGTAGACGCTGCAGGATTTTCTGCATCGGCTGACTCGATTCGAGTTTCGCTTTCGGGTTTGGGGTCCCGGAACCCAAAAACCCGAAACTGCTAAACCCATCAAAATCGTCATGTATATATATATATATATATATATATATATTTTTTTTTTTTTTGAAGACCCCTGCCCCCTGACTGCAGTTTGCACTTGAGGCCCTTTGGCCCTTCGCTTTGAGGCCTCCTTATCAAGTTTTAAGTCAAAACTGAGGAAGAGGGTGCCCTTGCGTTAGGGAGACTTTGAGGAACCTCGTGCTACAAGACCATGTATCCTATAAAACCCTGTAAATGCCCTAAACCACAACTCTGAAGCTTTTGAGAAAAACCCTCATAAACCTGCTGGGTGTTGGGGCGTGTGCGGTTTGGGGGTTTATGGGATGAGAGCTTTGGGATGCTGGAGGAAGCCCCCGTCACTGTGCTGCACGACTACGCGGATGTGCCAGGCGTGGTTTCGTGCAAAGGAGTCCTCTGCGGTGGCTTCTTAGGTTCAGGGGTTTGGGGTCTCGGGTTTAGTTGTGATCTTCAGCAACAAACCCCGGACTGGTTTGGTTTTTTGGGCTTTTTGTGTAAAGTGCTGGTCATTGTGACGGCCGTCCAGGGTGATAAGTTTCGGGGTACTGCCGCAAGAGTACAACCCATGGAAATCTGTAAACATGCTCTTGGGTTGCATGCACTCCTAGGTGAATACAGGGGCCTTAATTAATAGTTAGAATAGGGTTTGGGGGCCCGTTGTACTATAATCATATTAAGCCCCAAAATAGTATAGGTAATTATTCTGTGTGCAATACGGTCATTCCAGGCGTTCTTGTAACGATGTGAAATTACATGATGATGCGCCGGGTGAGGGTGATCCCGACAAGACCGATAACAACACTGACGGCGACGACAGTTATGATGCCAACGATGGCGACGCTGCTGATGATGCTGATGATGACGATGATGATGATGGAGATGATAGTGATGATGTTGATGAACGGGTTTTATGCTGATGACGATGTTGTTGATGATGATGGCGATGATGCTATACTACACTGAGTCTTCACCACGGCACCATCAGCATGAAACGGTATGGGTATCATCACCATATTAATCAGATCTGCTCTATCAAAGTCTCCATCGTCTCAGGCGCCGCTACCGCCATCTTCACCTTTCCAAATAATTGGGTGTTTCCGAAAATGAGGGGTACCTGATTTTGGGGTCTTTATAATAAGGATCCTACTATTTAGGGTGCCATATTAGGGTCCCCCATTTTCGGAGACTCCCATTAACTAGGGCATATGTTTTCGATCTCCCAATCATCCTGCGAGTTTCCCAGAGCCCAATACCCCGTGATGGAGGAATATAGCTGAACTCGTACTAGGAAGCCCGTTATAACTTACTGTATATTCACTTCCTTAATTCAGGGGTGGTGGGCTCTTTGGGATGGTAGTTTTTACCACCGCAGCTATGCCTTGTGCCACGGAAGCTGTGGCAATCGTGACACATCGCGACGCTTCTGCAGTTGCTCGACGTGTTCCCACATCCATGCACCTGTAAACTTAAGCCACGGCTCTCCGTCAACAGCCTACAAAAACCTTGAGTGCAACATATGACCGCTATGGTTGATACCCTAAGGACCGTGGCATCTGACCCCTAAGCCTAAAGCAAAGCCCTAACCTCTAAGCTCTTGGCGTAAGTAAGCCCTGAATCCGAAACCTTGGCCCTCAAAGAGACTTGACAGTCCTACGGTTGATGATATAAATCCTGCATTACCCATCATAGGGAATATACCATAATTCCCATAGTTTAGGGTCCTTAAGGTAATGCAGGATTTATATCATCAACCGTACTTAGAGGATCATGGGACTTAGTAAGTAGGTTATAGCTGGGGTTATAAGTCCCCTAAGTGGGGTTATCCTAATTATAACCTACTTATAACCTTACTTACTAAGTCCCATGAGCCTTCAAGTAGACCCTAAACCCTAAACCCTCAGTACAGAACCCTAAACCCTTAATCCTAAATCCCTTTTGAACCCTTCTGGATCCCTTAAAGCAGCCCTTTGAGGAACCCGAATTACTAAGTCCCATGAGCCTTTAAGTAAACTCCTGAAGCCCCAAAGCCAAAAGCCCGAAAACCCTAAACTCCAAAACCTTGTGAGCCCTGAACCTTGAACCCCTAAACCCTATAGATCCCTTAAGGGAGGGTTTAGGGTTTAGGGTAGGGTTTCGGGTTTAGGGTTTAGGGTTTAGGGTTTAGGGAGCCCTTGAAGGAACCCTAAAACTTTTGAGCCCCAAATCCGGAACTGCCAAGGTGCCCGCCCGCTCGGCCAGAGTGGCCTCTTCGTCAGCGGAAGCATCGCCAAGGCCAAGCTTTCTTTTAGACTAGAGGGACTTAGTAAATAAGGTTTAAGCTTCTTTTTGAGGGTAGATACTGGGGTCCTATAGTAGGGCTCCCTTTAAGGGTTTAGGGTTTACTTGAAGGCTGGTGGGACTTAGTAAGTATGTGTGGTTATTATTAGGATAACCCCCACTTAGAGGACTTATAATCCCAATTATAACCTCCTTCCTAAGTCCAAATATCCTCCATGTACAGGTTCAATCTGCACTCGCTGTTCCCGTAAAGCTTTTTTTGGGGGATATAGAGCAATAAGTTGCATGTCCTTCCCCGACTGAGGATTTTGTTCGATGATAGGAAAGGACTTCTTTATCGGGCTTGGGGATTGAATGACTGAGGCCTTGTAGGGACAACAGCAGCGATCCTTTTCTCTCTGGAGGGTGTAGGGCTTGGGGTTTATAAGACTTAGGATTTGCGGTTTCGGGTTAGGCAGGTTTTATATGTAACCCTAAACCCCAAACCCCCAAACCCTAAACCCGTAGACAGCAAACCCTCCCAGACCTTCCAAAATCCCTTAATTAAGGAATATACCTTAAATCATATTAAGGGGCCCTACTATAATTTAAGGTATATTCCTTAGTTAAGGGATTTTGGAAGGTCTGGGCTAAACCCCTAAAGTTGAGGATCAGCACACGTTGGTTTCGCGTTCGAAGACCAAAAGATCCCCCCCTCCCGGAATTCTGCCCATTCCTCTATGTGTGACTTACCCTTGAGAGAACCTTTAAAGGATCTCATAAAGGCTTCATGTGTGCTTCTATAAGGAACATACTTTCGTTTTTTGGCGAAGTAATATTACTAGGACCCAGAGTAGGCCCTTATTCCCTTTTTTATGGGTTTAGGTTCCCTTAGCCCCCTTTAAACCAAAAAGGGCACCCTTTTTATTTCTAGGCTACTCTTGGGTCTAGTCCTCTATGTGTGACTTAGCTAGAACCTTAGGCCTTTAGGGCTTGTAGGGGTTTAGGGTTTCGGGGTCTAGGGTTTAGGAGTAATTCTGGTTGGCCTCCTTGCGGTTCTTATCCTAAGGTTTAGAAAACTAGCTTTTAGAAGGGGTTCTACGTACCATCCCTAAACCCTAAACCCTTAAACCCTAAACCCTAAACCCTAACCGTTTAACCCTGGCATGCAGATGAAAGGCGCGCGATTGGCTGCAAAGTGGCGTCGGCTCCTCCCTCCGTCGCAGCCTTAGGTCCAGAGACAGGTTGCCGAACAGCAAAGCACCTCAGCAAATATACCACAAGAACCCCATGCACCCCGCATGCATCCCGGGTGTACATACAGTCTTCCCAGCGTTTTTGAAAGTTCGGGGTTAGGAGCCTAAACCGAAACAACTCGCGAGTTTGCGGGTTTTGGGTGTCGAAGGTGCGCAAGCCCTGGTAGCTACCCAGATTCCCAACGCCCCGTAATCAAGGAATATACCTTAAACTATAATAAGGGGCTTCATATTGTGATTCAAGCTATGTTCCTGAATGAAGGGGTGTTGAGCTCTCCGGCTTATTGCAAGCCCTTCCGCTTGCACGGTTTCAAACCCTGAACAATATGTCCTGGCCTCCTCGTGGCCGTCCCAGTAGCGGTCGACCTTGTGTTATCATTAATTAGGGACCCAAAAAGCACATAAGCAAAAATTAGGATAGGGATATCCCATATAAACCCCCTTATAATGAAGCCCATTAAGGTAGGGATATCCCTATAAAATGCTTATGCTTATGTGCTTTTTGGGGTCCCTAATTAAAGCCATGTCGAAAGCTTCTTGAATCCCGACAACTGCCTAAAACACCTTAGTCTTACATATTCTTACCAGAAACCTAAAACCCTAAAGCCCTGAAACCCTAAAACCCTAAAACCCTAAAACCCTAAACCCTAAACCCTACCCTAAACCCTAAAGCCCTAAAGCCATAAAACCCTAAACCAGTAAACCCTAAGACCCTACCCTAAACCCTAAAGCCCTAAAGCCATAAAACCCTAAACCAGTAAACCCTAAGACCCTAAGCCCTAAACCCCAACCAGTATAAAAACCACCCGGG